ATATATATATATATATATATATATATATATGTATGGCTCTGAAAAATATATACTAAAAGGTGCGTTCAAAAACACTGAAAGTCCACGACGGAAAGTGGCTGTGGTGGATGGGCTTGGTGGGGTTAGTGGAGTTGGTATCGAGAGGAGTTTTCGAACAGCCATGGAAGAATGCTCAATGTGACATACTACATGTGTTGTGCCTACATATGTGTTGTACAAAATGGCTGATCGAAAGCGTATTTCGACATTAGCTATAATTGCTTCTCAGCAAAATAATAATAAATTAATAAATTTAGTAATTAATTAATTAATTAATTTAGTAATTATTAATTTATAATTTAGTTATCTGGAAAGTTAATTGGCTATATATTCCTCGGTCCGAGAACTCGGATCGATTTCTAGCATCGTGGGCACCAGGCCTAAGGAAATTTATAAACTTATTTATTACTCCTTACCTTTAACATCGTATATATAGACATTTCCCTTGTCATCCTTTTGTATATTTTTTTAAATATCCATGCATAAAATATGACGAGATTAAATTTTCCATTTTTTTTCACAAATTGTTACTGATTCGTGACTTTTAACGTGCCTCGTATCTCGTAAGAAAATTTCAGAACCTATAAAATACAAAAAGCGTAATAAGCTTTATTTATATTTAAAGACAATATTCTGACAATATACATCACTATATAAATAAACCTAAACCTGGCTAACCTACACTGCTGTATTTAAATTTTTTATCTTACCGTGATGGCTAATGGTTGTACGAATGTTTCGAAGAGCAAAAAACCATAAATAATTTAGTAATTTCATACTGTATTGCACTCTTTGCGCACTCTCCACCATCTCCACCGATTTACACCGCGCAAAAGAGAGTGGAGAAAAGTCACACGAGTGGTCCACGGAGTACGGTTTTCGAACGACCATGGTCGCATGGTCAGTGTGCCCACTAGGGGTTTTCGAACGATCTGAGTGTGACAAAATACACACTGTTTCTGTTTGATGTCAATTCATGTGCGGCGCCCCTAAATCCATTCTACATTAGTCGCAATCGCAAGATCGCAAGGAAATTGACCAATTATAATTGATTATTCTTCGATCGCAAGAAGAACAATCGACTATGATTAGTCAATTTCTTTGCGACCTTGCGATTTGCGACTAATGTAGAATGGACTTTATGTCGTTATGCAAGAATGCTTCCCGCTTAAATATCTTATATTTTGTCTTTATATATGTATAATTTATGTACTCTCTCTTACTATTCGTTTTATAAGCCGATTTTAACTTTTTTTTTT